TCACAGAGCACATCATGCTCATCTAAAAGAAAATTAAGTTCCTATCTGCTCTGCTCATCTGATTTAATGGTTTAGCCAAACAGATCATAACATGTTCCCCCGTGTTATGCTGGCTTTGAATTTCAGGTCTCATGTCAGTCATATAAGAAGAGTACAGCTTCCTATTTAGATCTGGAGAGGCAGATGCAGAAACAGAAGAGTATGCATTAAAGCCAAATTCAAAATGTAATTTATAATCTCATCTATTTTAATCACTAGAAAGTTAATTTTGTTCATGTCCAGGGAGCCTGAAAACATGTAAAGGATTTCCATATATAAGAACGGAGACTGCGTGAGCTGGGATTTGAGCTCAAGAGGGTGAGCTCATGAGAGGTTAGGAGCAGTGCCATGAACATGGCCCCACAGATTCTGACAAGTGTTCTCAGCTCCCAAATACATATCGAGACTTTTTTTTGCAATCTCAAAACATTATCAGTGGATGGGATTGTAAAGATTATGTGGTCTAAAACACTAATTTCACAGAAGAAAAAACAGAGGCTTGGTGAGATTAGGAAGACATGCCCAAGGATAGGCAGCTGTTCATGGCAGGGCCAGGACCAGGGCTTAGGTCTCCCTCAGTGCATCATTTCTCTGCCTCTGTGCGTGAAGGACAACGGGGAATCCTAGGACCTTCCTGTACATGTGGGGTTTTCCCCATGGTGTGTGTGTGTGCTCAGTCATGTCCAACTCTTTGTGACCGCATGGACTGTAGCCCACCAGGCTCCTCTGATCATGGGATTCTCCAGGCAAGAGTACCGGAGTGGGTTGCCATTTCCTCCTCCAAGGGATCTTCCTGACTCAGGCATCAAGCCCACGTCTCTTGAGCCTCTCTAATGGATTTATAGAAAGAATATGGAGAGAATTCTCTGAAGGTCTTCAAGGCTGGAAAGGCTGGAAAAGTGTCATATTTTCCAGGAACTCCTAAACACACACACATACACACACATACCTCAACACTGCTCAGTGATTCCCACACCTTGTGTGTCCAGGAATCAGGCATTTCATGTAGAGCAGACACATACTCCGTGGTTAGCCTGGGGCACCCCAGGCTGGCCTCTCAGGTGTTCTCCCCACCCACCCTTCAGCAAGGTTGCACCTGGGCCAGGAGATGGGCTGATAGGTTTACCCACCAGGTAACACTTCAGCTCTGGGACAGTTGAGCCTTCACCTACATCACAACACACTCTATCACAGGCAGACTGCAGCAGGTTACACACGCACCAGGACTGAACACACATTCTACCAGTATTTAGCACATAATTTGTGTATTGTGTCTAGTGCCTTATAAACAATACCTCATCCAGTTCTTACAGCTGTCAACAAGATGTCAGCAGTATTTGATCTTGTTCGGCTTAGAGAGGTGACGTGATTTGTCTGTGGATTGATGGACCCAGAATCCAACAGAGAGAGCATAGAAAGGGGTCAGCAAAGTTTATCTAACCTACACCTTCCAACTCCCCTCCTACTAGCATAACAGAAGCAGATCAGAGATGGTCGTCAAGACTGTGCCTGAACTCATGTTGGCTCAGGCTGAAACATGCGTCCAAAGAGGCTAAACGGCTGGCCCATCACCCTGTGATCTCTCTAGGATCCAGAGAGGGAACTGGGCCCAAATGATCTGCAGGTACCTTGGACTAACGCATCATCTAGTGATAGTAAGCCTTCATCACTCAAGCTCTGATTGCTGGGAACAGTGGCAGCTACCCCCGCCACTCAAGGCAGGGCCCTCCAGCAGGCTGCCCTCCCTCAAGCACAGACGCCCACACTGAGACAAGTGTCTCCTTCCACCCACAGCTAGCAGGATGAAATGGCACATTCTGTTTTCACAGTGGGCTGCTCACACATATCAGCAGTTATCAAGAATTTGAAAACCTGTGCTGTGGAACGCGTAGTAACTTGCTAACAAGGTTTACTCACCCAGGTGATCTGGGTGACAGAGGTTAGAGAGTCATGCGAATTCCAAATGCCATTTCAAAGCCAGCCAGGGGGAGAATAAGCAGATTTGTGTTTATGATAATGACATTTAAAAGTCTAAAATTATAGGGTTGTTTACAGAGATGGACTTATCATAAAATAATTGCATCCAACTTTGCAAAAACATAAAAGAACATCATCTTGTTGTGGACAGTTGAAAGAAAAGGTTTTCTTAAAAGAATAGAGAAAATAGGACTCAGTTTCAGATAAAACAGCTTCAAAGGAAGTTCATGGAATCTTAAAAAGAGAATCTCACTCAAAGAATTCTCTAGAATGTCCTAAATCTAAAAGCATTGTTTTTCTTCAGACATCTAATTTAGATTATATACCAAACCCTATAATAAACCTCCCACAAAGAAATAATAGTAGACTGCATGCATTATAGATGTTCAGGGTTTGCTCCATTTAAATACAATTACTGACCTTCTACTAGCAGTCAGGATGCCAACGTTCCATGGCAACCAGAAAAGAAAGGTCACAGTCCTATTTTCCAAGCGATTTTTGGTCCTTAGCAGGAATTCACTATTATGCTTGGAGGCTGTGCCACCTGGGAAACAAAGGGGAATGATCCCATTTCACCTGTAGAAACACGTATCACATGTTTTCTCTTTCTAGTCACAGACAGCTTGCACCAAAGCAGTGGCTGCTGTCCCTGTGAGATGCATTCAGTCACCGTTTAAGCATCAGGCTGCCCACGGAGGATGTTCCCGTGGGTCTTTGAGGTGTCTGACAGCCATTAACCCCAGAGGCAATGTTTGGAGAGATGTTTAAAAGTTTTAATTCTGGGATCAGCAGGACCTGAGTGTGACAGTGAGGTCAGCCTGTTTCAGCTGGAGACAGCCCATCTCAGCCCCTCTAAGTGGTGGGTGAGTGATGCACTCACTCTCAGAGCCACTAGGGATCCCAGATTCACAGGCATCCAGTCAGCTCCAGAGACGGTAGGAGCAGCCAGTGAGCAAGGCCGTCCTTGTTACTGTTGCACACTTATCTTAATCATCTCAGGAGTTTGTGAAAGTTACGTCTTTCCTAAGTGTGAGCAGGTGGTGCAAAGCGTTTTAAAATATAAAATATAGATGCATTATTTTAACCATTTCCCCTTGGCCTCATATAGCTTGAAATAGATATTGTTCCATGAATTTTGAAGCTGACTGAGATTTATTACTAAGTTTTATATAGCACAAGAATAATGAATATTATTATACCATTGATACATATATACATAATATATATGGCCGTTAGGAAGCATTACTGTGAACAAAGCTAGTAGAGGTGACAGAATTCCAGCTGAGCTGCTTAAAATCCTAAAAGATGATACCCTTAAAGCGCTGAACTCAATATGCCAGCAAATTTGGAAAACTCAGTAGTGGCCCCAGGACTGAAAAAGGTCAGTTTTCATTCCAGTTCCAAAGAAGGCAATGTCAGAGAATGTTTAAACTACCATATGATTGTGCTTATTTCACATGCTAGCAAGATTATGCTCAAAATCCTTCAAACTAGGCTTCAGCAGTACATGAACTGAGAACTTCCAGAGATATAAGCTGGGTTTTGAAAAAGCAGAGGGACCAGAGATCAAACTGCCAACATTTGCTGGATCATGGAGAAAGCAAAGGAGTTCCAGAAAAACATCTACTTCTGCTCGTTGAGTATGAGAAAGCCTTTAACTATGTGGATCACAACAAACTTGAAAATTCTTAAAGAGATGGGAGTACCAGATTGTTTCACTTGTCTCCTGAGAAACCTGTATGTGTGTCAAGAAGCAACAGTTAGAACCAGAAACGGAAAAACTGACTGGCTCAAAGTTGGAAAAGGGGTACAACAAAGCTTTATATTGTCATCCTGCTTATTTAACTTACATGCAGAGTACATCATGTGAAATGCCAGGCTGGATGAGTCACAAGCTAGAAACAAGATTGCTGGGGGAAATATCAACAACCTCAGATATGCAGATAATACCATTCTAATGGCACGAAGTGAAAATAAATTAAAAGAGACTTTTGATGAAAAGTGAAAGAGGAGAGTGAAAAAGCTGGTTTGAAACTCAACATTCAGAAAACTAAGATCACAGAAAGCCAGTTCCATCACTTCATGGCAAATAGAAGGGTAAAAAGTGGAAGATTTTATTTGCTTGGGCTCCAAAATCACTGCAGCCATGAAATTAAAAGACACCTGCTCCTTGGAAGGAAAACTATGACAAACCCAGACAGTATATTAGAAAGCAGAGACATCACTTTGCTGACAAAGGTCTATATAGTCACAGCTAGGTTTTTCTAGTAGTCATGTACAGATGTGAGAGTAGGACCATAAAGAAGGCTGAGTGCCAAATAACTGATGCTTTCAAATTGTGGTGCTGGAAAAGACTCTTGAGAGTATCTTGGACTGCAAGGAGATCAAACTAGTCAATCCTAAAGGAAACCAACTTGGAATATTCATTGGAAGGAATGATGCTGAAGCTAAAGTTCCAATATTTGGGACACCTGATGCAAAGAGCCAACTTACTGAAAAAGACCCTGATGCTGGGAAGGATTGAGGACAGAAGGAGAAGGGGGTGGCAGAAGATGGCATCACTGACTCAGTGAACATGAATTTGAACAAACTCCAGGAGGCAGTGAAGGACAGAGAAGCCTGGTGTGCTGCGGTCCACGAGGTCACAAAGAGTTGGACACGGCTCAGTGACTAAGCAACAACAACATATATGTATTTGTATGTGAATTTAGTCATTTAAAGATTTCGGCAAAATACATTGATGTTGGATTCTCCAACATCATGTGTTCTGAAAAAAAAAATCTATTATGTCAACAAAACTACAGTATCAAAAGATATCATTTTAGCAAATATGGGACTGATGATATAAGTCTTTTGTAGGTTAAAAGTCTCGTCATTCACAGTAGTTTAACTGAAGAATCTTCAAATTCAACAGCTATTTAAGTCCTTTGGGGTTAAGGATTCCCTTTAATCAATATTTCATTTTCTCTATGGAATCTGTTTTTAAGAAGCAGAACGAAGAACCAGTTCCTCTGATGAATGGTATCAGGTATAAAATTTTCAATTACTGAGGACGTGGAAAGGGCACAGGGGAACCATGGCCTTTTGGTGCTTTCCCTGGAAGCTGTGGAAAGAGAAGTCAGACCTCACTGCCAGTGTAATAAGTTAGGATTTTCATAAAATATTTTCTATTTAAAAAATCTGTAATATATATTAATAACATCTTGCTTATGTTGAATTCTCAAAAAGATACCATAAAAAATCTATGCACATTCACCCCATTTAGATCTCTGGTAAACAGTCCTCTCCTTTGTTCACTAAGGGCCAAAGTCGCAGCATCTCAAGGATCTGGGCAAATGAATTCTTTTTTCTCCAATATCTTCTTGACTACATGAAAGAGAAAAATCAGTGTTAATGAAAGACAAAGAAAAATCTTATTTTCTAAGTGATCTGTCACATCAAATGAAGTACTTCTAAAAAAATAAAGGCTCTTTGAAAACAAATAGATTTTCTACAGCTATCAAGAATAAAAAATATTACACAGTATGTACATATGCGTACACAACCTCCTTTTAATGGCGGCGTGGCACTATCTTCCCATGTTTTCCTTGCCAGCTAGCCAACACTGTCTTTTGTTTTATCATTCAAGGCCTAGCCCTGATTTCTGATGTCACGTGACAGTGTTGCTATGGAAACAGTGGCTTTGTGTGTCCCTGAGGGAACAAAAGGTCATTTCCATTTGAGGACTTCAGAGTAGGCTTGGTTCCCTGTTGGTAAATGATTGTGGTAACCAGCATATTAAATGTTATCGGCAAAATTCCGTTCATATTTTACATGTCCTCTTTCCAGCAAACCGCTCTTTCAGTCCATGTTATTGCAGCAGCCTTGGGACACAGGCTAGAACAGAAGTGAAGCTTTCCTGGGTTGAGAAGGACCACCAGTCAAAAGCAGGTAGCAGAGTTAAGAATCACAGCTTTTATCTTCTCAATCCCAAGTCACATCTGTTTCCAGGAGATTTCAGACTCTGCTGTCATTTTATTTTAAATCTCGGCGCCCATATGACGGATCTTAAAGTGACTGAAAAGGCAGCCAGACAGCCCTCAGCTTCCCCAGCTCCTGCCTGGGACCAGATCAGGTACCTGGTCTATGTGGGTAGACAGCCTTAGTAAAAACTCCAGAAAAACTCAAGCTCTGTTGAAAAAAATTAAGCAGCATTATAGTGATTAAAGTTACAGCCACTACATCAAACCAGTACTTCCACGTAACTATGTAATTGTTTACAGATGGAATGTATTTATTTAGTACGTTTCCTTTACTAATGGATTTATTTAGTACATTTTAGTCTTAAAATATTTTAGCTTTTTTCTTACATACAACATTCACGTTGTGAAGTATACAGATTATAAGTATATGGTTTGCTACATTTTTTTAAGAAATGAGCATATGCAGATAACCACCACTCTAGTCAAGTTATAGAACTTTATCAACACTCAGAACTTTCAAATCATAACCTTTCTAGAGTTGACCACTGTTCTCACTTTGACTGCCATTACAAATTTATTTTACCAGCTTTGTATTTCATTTAATTGGAATCATACATACGTGTGATGGGTGTGCATACATAGTTTGTTCTTTTTCATAGCTTTAGGAATTTAATTGTATCATTGTAACTCAAATTATTTATCATTATGTTGTTAAGGGACTGGTGCTGTTTCCTTTTGGGGGCTGTTGTGAATAAAGCTACTATAAACATTCTCATAAATACCTGTTTGTGGATTTCTGTACTCTCCTCTTGGATAACGTTAAACTCACTTACCTCTCCTCATAGTTTATCTGCATAATCTAGTGAATCTGTCCACACAGTCATGCTGTCTATGCAGGATGACAGTTTTATTTCTTTTCCCAGTCTCAGGATCTTTATTTCACTTGCTTGTCGTATTGCACTGGACCAGAGCTCCAGTTTACTACTGAATAGAAAGTGTTAAACAGAACTCTCAGTCAAGAATATAAAGTTCTCAAAATGCTTCTTTTTTTCTCAAGTATAACGTTTTCTGAGGTTTTTGGTAGACATCCTTTATTATATAAGGATATTGCCCTTCTAGTGTGCTAAGAGTTTTATTATGAATGTGTACTGAAAATATAGAGGGCTTATTTTGCATCTTTTGAGAATCTCTTGTGACTTTTCTACTTTGATATGGTAAGTCACGTTGTTTTAATTTTCAGTTTTAAATCGAACACACATCCCTAGAATAAAGCCAGCATGGTTGTGGTGTGTTACTCTTTTCATACTTCTTTGATTTGGTTTGTTATTACTTGTCTAGCATTCTTGTGCCTCTGTTTATGAGAGTGATTTGCCTCTGATTTTCCCTTGCTACATGTTGACTTTAAAGTTATGTTGGCCTCAAAGAAAGAGTCTGAGAGTGCTTCCATGTTACTGTTTTCTGATTGAGTTTGTGTGAATTCCTCCTTCAGTATTTTTAGTGATTTAATGATGCAGTTCTTTAAGACTTGAATTTTTCTATTGGGGATGTTTTAAATTGTAGATTCAACTCCACTGAGAAATAGAATTATAAAGATAGCTGTTTCTTCTTGTTTTTGTTCTGGAAAATTGTTTTTTAAAAATGTCTTCCATCTTTAATTTCAAACTTATTTGCAAAGTCTGGTTCATAATACTCTGTGTTTCTCTTTCCGCAGAACTGTGACTATGTTACCTTACGTGGGAAAAGGAAGTTTCTTGATGATGTTAAGGAGCTTAAGACGGAGAGGTTATTCTGGATTATGTGGATGGGCCCAGTGTTGTCACAGCAGCCTTTTAAGTGGTGGGGGGCGG